TGTGTGTGTGTGTGTGTGTGTGTGTGTGTGTGTGTGTGTGTGTGTGTGTGTGTGTGTGTGTGTGTGTTAAGATCTTGCGAGTCTTGGATAGGTGTACTTTTGGCGACTGGAAAACCGTAAAAGTTTTACTATTTCTGTGATACTCAGAGTTATTTATGAAGATGATGTGAATTGGTCTGTTAAAGACTGTTTGCTGTTGACAAGTTTTAGTTCTCTTTAGTCCCTTTGCCTTGTGCCAGTTTTTCTGTGCTCGTCCGTGCCCCTTCCACGCCCACTGCCTTCGTTGCCTGCAGCCGACTCGACCCATTCGACTCGCTCGACTCGGCTGCTGCCCACACCTCGCCAGCGCCACTCCTCACCCGGTACCGCAGTCACCTTCTCTCTTCGACAGCCCTCCACCACACACCGGCTCCACCTTCTCCTCCGCCCGTCCGTCCGTCTTCCACGAAGACCCACTCACCGTCTGCCCCCAAAAAGGCCCATTCGGTCCCCTAGGCCTGCGATACCAACCCCATCCGAGTCCCTTCCACAGTGACCCCGAAGGAGCCTCAAAGTGGTGCCCACTTCGTGGCCGCCCCCTGTCATGTCCCCTAGCAACAGTCTGTCCAACCATGCTGGCAGGGTGTGTTTCCGGAGCGTCAGTTTGTCCATTCGCCTCGTCCGAAGAGCCCTTTCTGGAGGTGTCGTCGAAAAAGTGTCCATTTGCCGAGCACACATGCCGACGTGTGCATACAGACAGATGGACCACGCGGTTTTTCACAGCCTTGATTGTCCAACTGTTGTTTCGACACACTCACAACCATAGTCCAACCGTCCTTATTCCTGTCTGTCCTGTCCGTTATGCTAGCCCACACAATTGGCGTCAACTCTTGTCGCCCCAGCAATACAACAACCTTAGTTCGAGCCCCGGCGAATGCTCTACCCTTGCGCCAGCCGTGCCAGCAACAAGTGATAGGTAACCTTGGCAACTAGATTTAGTGTACAAGTTATCCAAATAGTTCTGATCCGTTGTCCAGAATGATCAGAAACGATACTTTAGTTATTTTTTTACTTTGTGCCTTGCTTTGTCCTTCATTCTTGAGTGCCCCCCCACTCGTTCCTCCAAGATGATTAGAATACATTGCTCTTCTCTTTTTCTCTTAATCTCTTTCACGCAAACTATTTCTTCATGTCCGCCCAGAATGAATTCCGATTTATTTCAACATATTATTACTATTATTATTATTATTATTATTATTATTATTGTGATTATTATTAACATTATTATTTCCTCAACAAAGCTAATGTACCCTCGATTCCTCTTATCTTATTTTTCCATTGATGTTTGGTGTTATAATATAAAAGATTTTTGCGTACTCTTTTGCCTCATTAGACAATGCCAAAAATGGGCCAATCGACTCGTGAAAGGACAAAGGCGCGCCCCAACAACGAGAAGAAGCCACGTTGTAACCGACCGAGGCTTGAGCCGTGTTCTCGAGCGGGTAACCTGTTTGCCTT